AAGTTACAACATCACAACAGGTTTACATTTCGTGTCTTCAAAGCTTCTCAAATTTCAAACGATTGCGTTTTTATTTTAAATTAACGAGACTCTGGTTTCGAGAAAAGTACCTGTGGCATCCGCCTCTGAAACACAAAATCCCGGCATCTCCTCATCATCCCTGCGATTCAGTATCACGTCCGGTACTCTCTAGACTCGCGTCTGTCGGTGAGTAGACAATGAAGGCTGCCTCGAATGGTCCGGGCGACACTCACTCAGAAGCGCGCGCGCACACACAGACAAACAGACAGTTAGACTGACACATAAACACACACACACACACAGACAGAGACACACGCACAGACAACAGACCGGCAGAGACATCTACTGTCAGAGTCAGCGAGACCTGGCACCGACACAGATCGATGGTAGGTAGGGAAGTACTCACGCCACCCTGCACGTGCAGTGGTGCCAGTAAGACGGTTCCTCCTTCTCCTTCTCTTCCTCCTCCTTCTTCTTCTTCTGCCCCCTCCTCCTCCTCTTCTTTGTCTTCTTCTTCCTCTTCTCTCTCTCCTCCTCCCCCTCCTCCTCCTCATTCCTTTGTCTTCTTCCTCATCATCTCATCCTCTCCTCCTCTTCTTTCTACTCCTCCTTTTTCCTCCTTCTCCTCGTCTTCTTATTTCGTTCCTTGTTTATTGTTTCGTCTTTTCTCTACGTTTATAATCATCTGTATCTCTCTTTTCTTCTCGAAATTCTATATATATTTACCTATTCTTCTCCATCCTTCATTTCCACCTCCTCTTCCTGTGTCTCCTTCTTCTCCTCCTTTTTTCCCTCCTTCTTCTCCTCTTTTTCTCTTCCTCCGCCTCCTCTCCTCCCCCTTTTCCTATCCCTCCACCCCCCCCTCTTCCTCCCTCTCCTCGAACTCAGCTTCTCCGAGACCACGGCTGAAATAAGCCACCGACCATTGTTGTTCTATTTCAGATTAATTATCCACTTTAATCAGTAGCCCCTCCCCTCAGCTCCCACCCTAGTTTTATTTTCTTTACGCTCCTCTCACCCGCCAAGTCGCTTTCTCTTACCATTTCAACCCCACCCTTCCCTAACCGACTAGACGGTCAGAGTATAGTGTAAGAACTATAGCTAACCACCCATTCACTATCCGCGGAACAAAAGACCAAGTACGTGGATTAATCTCTACCCGTCCCCCACCCCAATCCCACCCCTACGCCCCTCACCCAGCCCCACCCCCACACCCACACCCACCCTTGCCTCACTCTTCCCTCTTTCCTTCATAGAGTTTCTTAGAGCCACAAATCGATGAGACCCACAGAACCTTAAGCCCTCACCAGCAGATTCTCCATAACAACTGCGTCCTGGCAGTCTTGGATTACCAGTTAGTACAGAAGATGAACACCCATGGGGAACCCACCAAGTATAATTTTAGCACTGACCTTGCACAGAATTTGCTTGTTGTTTGGGTTAAATTAGAGAGAAGGTTATCCACGCAATAACGGTCGTTAGTTTTATTCGTTTTATTTTTGGTCATTTACTGCTGGGGAAAAATTAAGACAGACATAGTACCATAATAACCCCTGCCTGCCTGCCTGCCTGCCTGCCTGCCTATATGTCTGCCTGTCTGTCTGTCTGTCTGTCTGTCTGTCTGTCTGTCTGTCTGTCTCTCTGT